AAAGTATATAATATTTATAATAAATATATATGAATAATGAAAATATAATTTATATAATGTGAATAATTAATTGTCAATTATTATGTTCATATCTTAACATCAATTTATTATCATTTATTTATTATATAAAATTATCTAATTAATTAATATAAAATTGAGAGACTATGACAATGAAAAAAGACTAGAGAAAGTATAATTAAGATTAATATTATGGTTAGTTTCCTTTGTTTGTCTTATATTTCATACTCGAACTGAATGGATTATATATATATTTTGCATTTTGTGAAAATAGGAAGAGCTAGTTCCTCACCAAGCCATCTATCTTTGGAGGCGCGTCTCAAGATAGCAAGTGGTGTAGCACGGGGACTAGCCTACATTCATGAACGGAGACAAGTGCATGGTAACATCAAACCATCCAACATCCTCTTGAGCTCCGATATGGAACCAATAATTAGTGACTTGGGCCTAGACCGCCTCATCTCGGCCGAGAACAACTCCAAACCAAGCGGTGCAGGCCGGTTCTTAGACAGCCAACAGTCCACATCATCTCGTGATGGACCATTAGATCACACAACCAGTTTGAGCTCTTGCACATCCGCTGGCTCCTCCACAAGGTTTGTATCACTGTATCAAGCTCCAGAGTCGCTTAAGAACCTCAAGCCGAATCCTAAATGGGACGTGTACTCTTTTGGTATGATATTGCTTGAGCTTCTCACCGGTAGGGTGTTTACAGACTGGGAGCTAAGTCAGTGGGCGGTGGCGACTGGTTCGGTTGTAGAGGAGAAGAACCGAGTTTTGAGATTGGTTGATGCGCCAATCAGGGGTGAGGTAGAGGCCAAGGAAGAGGCCTTACTGGCGTGTTTTAAGTTGGGATTTCAGTGTGCTTCTCTTTTGCCTCAAAAGAGACCGTCTATGAAAGGAGCAATTCAAGTCCTAGAGAAGATACCTCCCACAACTTTATGCTAGATAATGATGTATGTAGGTCTTACAAAAGTGATCCTTTGTTGGTACAGAAGCGTTTTCTTCCCTTTTTGTTGCTGTTTCATTGTTTTGATGACTTCCAAGTTGTGTATAAGGGCACGAGGACGGATGGTTTTTTTTAATGTAAATTTTTTTTTTTGTTTACGCTTTAGAGCGAGGGCCATTCAACAAGTTATTTTCTCTGTTTTTTCGAATCAAAATTAATCTTTCTTTAAGATTTCAACTTGAACTTTTTAATTTAGACTTTTATTCCTTTTATTTTAAAATAATAGATATTTTTTATTTAA